ACGAATCCGTTCCTTTTATGCTTATCACTTAGATATCAATGCAAGAAGTTTAACATTTCTCACTGTAATAGTACAACAAGGTGTGAAAGATATTACTGAAATCACGAAGAAATTCTGAAGTACTCACCACTGCACTGCAGCAAATGCCAAATGAACAGACATGGACTAAATCAACTTACCTTGGGATTTTGTTACAAAAAGTATATCATACATTTATACAAATGATCTGAGTTCAAGCCAGACTGTGTCAAATTGTAGATAATCTGCTCTATTTTGAATTCCCGTTGTTATATAATTAATGCTCGGTAGTAAGGGTGTAACTCAAATTTTTTGTAGTTCTGACTTATGCCTACAGGAGCCTCTGCACTTCCTTTTCCTTTTCGAAAGATACTGAAACATTAAGTCCAGTCCTTATGCAATGAAAGTTATAAACATGGTATCCAGGTCTTAATTTTATTTTTAATGCTAGTGGGGTGGGACTAAGTCCCTTGTACTGCGGCCACTGCTGGCCTATTTTACCAGTCCCAGATGAGAGGTGATGGTATTGTGGAGCAATTGGTGGAATGAAGATTGGCAGGAGAAACCGAAGTACTCGGAGGAAACCTGCCCCAGCGCCGCTTTGTCCACCACAAATCATACTTGACCAGACCCGGGATCGAACCCGGGCCGCCGCGGTGGGAAACCAGCGACTAACCGCTTGAGCTGCGGCGCTACCCAGGTCTTAAGTCAGAAACTACTAATTATCGTTGGTTATATATCTTCAGCCAGTTAATGCCCTTCATAATTATTCTGTACTTAACGCTTCTTACCGAGGGCCAAAGACATAAAACAATCAGTTTTACTGTGTTTATCATCACTTGTCGATTAAAAGCCTCCAAATTTTTGTCATTCATATTCACGGCAAGATGTGCATCAGTTTGAATTATAAAATGCAATAATTATTAAACGTTTCGTGTAAAAAGTATTTCAAGAATGAAATGCCCCAATAAGGCGTTTAAGCAGCTCTGTACGACATTAATTTGAGTGTAAATACACTCACATCACGAAAATTTTGACAACTATTAAGACAATATTTCTGGAGGTATTGTTTAGTAATCCAGTAAGTAAGCTGATGTTTTAGATTATGTAGTCATATCTAATCATTCTACATTTTGATCAGGAAGGTCCATTGTTAGTCAAAACCTCGAATTTGTGCTCTAATAAAATAGTTTCGGGGTAACCATACCTCCATGGACGTAAGTTCCATTTCAAGTATCATCTCAGTTGAGTCACTAATCCCGGCATACTAAGATCACTGCTAGCCAGTCACTTCATGTTTCCACAGTAGAGGTGAAGAAATATGTAAATGAATGGGATGTGATGACTCTGCATGTAACATTTCCGGGAGGTTCCAAACAAACACAGCCAATTTCTGCAGAAATTTATTTTTGGGGAGGAGGCACACCTCAGTCTCTGTACAAGATCTTATTGCGATCAGATATTTCCGTTTCTCCTACAATATGAATGCCAATAAGAATGTGGAACGTGGAAGAAACTTGAGGACCAGAGTCTCACCATGGAGCCTTGGGGCAAAAGGTTAATAAACCAGACTGCAATGCTTAGTGTTACTCATATAGCTCATTGAAATATGCGTGAGCTACTCAATTTGACACAGCCGAAATTGAATGCAGATTTGACACAAAATCACAGCATGCATCACCATAGAGCTGCAAACAAATATTTGTCCGGTCAGTCAAGTCTGAATTACGTCACGTGTCCTCGTCTGTATTAGTAATAGAAGCTTTAGTTAGTTTCGTCATGCATGTTGTTAGCTGATTCACTGGCTGGTTAGTGTAATGCTAAAATTTTCACTGTTTACTAACGTATAACGTGCTATAATTTGGTTAGTAAGTTCGAAATTTGTTAGACTTATGTGTATTATTATTTTTTAACCAAGGCTTCCTCTATGGAGAAAATTAGATAATCAGTTTCGTAATTTGAACTCTGTATTAAATATTATTATCATGGCCAAATGGAGGAGGATGAAGACAGAAGGGAATGTAGCATGCATGGGTGAAAATAAAGCTCTCCCTGTAACAGGTCATAGGGTTGTGAGACGTCGAAGTGCCCGCATTTTCTAGAAAATCGGCTCACAGATGGCGGTGAGTTTGTCAGCCTTACGCGCCGACCGCCTTTTACAACCAAGGAAGATTTCTGATACTCATTTCTGTTAGAGGCCGAGTCGACCCCAGGGCCATCTTGCGGCTGGAGGGATTACGTCATTTGAAAAATCAAATGACATAATCGGGAATCGAACCCGCGATCTACCGGCTTGTAGCATAAGAGAGATGAAAAATTAACACGAAATTTTTATTAAAATACTTGAAGGAAGATATCAGTTTGGAGTCCTGGGCTTATATGAGGTTACAAATTTAAAATGGACCTTAAAGAAATGTGATGTGAGAATATGGATTGGCTAAATTTGGCTCGGGATATGGTCTAATGGTCGACTGTTTTAAATAGAGCGATGCATTTTCGGGCTCTATAGAAAGCGCAGAATTTAATGACTGTCTGAGCAACTATTAACTTCTGAAGAAGAACTCTGCTCTGCGGAGATGATTATGAATTTCAACCTAAAGTATTGCCAAAATAAAATACAGTAACTTCCAGTGTCACAGAGAAAGCTTTGGTGGAGCGCATTTTAATCGAAGCTTAGAGATCATAAAGAAGCTGCATTAGTTTAAAGCAGGTGAGTCTACCGGTTTGGGATTCATTCCACAGTACCTGAATTGGGTTAGCAGTTCAGTGAAGAAAACTCGTTTCTAACTGTACACCGAGAAATCGTTTTACTTCCCTGTACTTTTATAGATCAACGGTATGTCATGTAGCTAAACTATGGGTTTAACGAATAATGTGTGTGTCCTATATTATTGCATACCATTTTAATACCAATGGAATATTTTATAAATTGTGAAAAGAAAATCTGAAAAGAAGTTCGAAATTCATAATTGCTTATTGTCGAACAGCATAGGCTAACGGCTCAATGGAAAATGGAGAGTAATGCAGTAATAATATTTAATTTATTTCCTTTTAACTACTGAGACCGAAATATTCTTTTAAATTTATATTCAGTATTTTAAATTGAGTCAATATTTTCTTTCTGATTAATGAGCACTAAAGTGTATTTAATTCGTCAAATGTTTATATTGGATTTAATGCTGTAATTTGTAAATTATTTTTTATGGTGATAGTAGCGTCTGAAATCTTTCTCTTGACATCAGAACACTCAACTTTAAAATGATATACGAGTAGGCCAGACCCTCAAACTAACTTTAATATCGGTTTCTGAAAAAAATATATACAGAACGCTCTTTCTCCAGTCATCACTGCGTAAACCCGTGAAATACTTCAGCCTCTTTGTTGATTGTTATGAAAAGTAAATGTGAACGCCATTTCTCGAAGTGTAGTTATATGTTTACATTTAACTCCAAAGCTATAAAATGATGTCTAAGAGAAAGAATGAAAATTCAATGATACATATTGAGGTTTCTGAAATATTGACTGAAGTCAGGTCTTCGAGATATACTGTTATTTTATTAAAATAATTTTCACTTTAAATCACACTAAGGTTATCCCGAAATCATTCCTGAAGTAACTGTAACAACTCATAGTTCAGTAGATTAATACCGATCACAGGTATGCCTGTATTTGTCTGAGAACAAACTTCTCCTGTTCTGGAAATGTCAGTTTGTTGTTTGGCTAAACGAACCTATCTGAATAGCATGTGTGAATTGTAAAGTAATTGTCTTCTAGGAAATTTCGTCGAAATAAAATATAATATCCACATATTATGGAGTGTAATTAATATTTCTAGATATTGACGAAATATTTTTCTTTGGTTATATATTTAAATAATTTCTCTATCTGAGATTCTGTATGTTGCATACATTTTGTTTACTACTTTCAGCATTTGCCTGAAGTGTCATGAAGTTTCAAGGATGATTTTGATCGCGACATGTATTAAATTGACAGATTCAGTAAGAATGCTAAGCTGGTTACATGAAGTATAGGTTAATAGATTAAACTTATGAATATGCAAGAATGTGAGAAATTTGATATAGTTTCAGAATCTGCATGGATGTCTTATGTTGGGACGAGTAGATGTCACGCTGTTTGTGGGAAGCTCCAGAATCCGCTAAGAATGTTACAAGTAAATTGGTCAGCGTGGCATATATTTAAAGCGAAATAAATAAAAAGATATGCGATTTGTATAAAACAATTTATGAAATAAAATTAATTATGTTATATATTTTTGGTTCACAATGATTCTGTATATACATACACAATGACTTCATCCCTGAGTTCAATTGTCACAAAAATCTTGATATAATGAGATAGTTTACAACGTGACATTTACCGGAATTCAACTGTCTTTTGTATATGCAACTGTATTTCCTATGTTAGATAAGCACTGAAATGTGAAAACGACAGACGTAGAAAAGAGATTATATACTCGTAAATAGTTATACATAAATAAATAAATACATACATATATTGCAACATCTAAATTCGACGTCATGAACTTAGTGTTAAAATATATAAATTAAAATGTTTAAGATAAATTTAACAATTTGTAGAATTCACAATAATATTATTAAAGCTTCCAAATCTCATAGCGAGAGTAAATGGTGAAATTAATATTTGCTCGAAAGCATCATTATGGTCTACAAGGTCGTTTCAATGCCTGTATAACTTCATGCAGTATACATATTTTCAAAGTTCCTTTAACATTCGCGCACTAAATGCTGTATGTCATGTGTCTTCATATTTCGTACAGCACACACATTTCGTTCAGCATAATAATTTGTCCTACTTCGGTGCGTATATTTTTAATTGGGATGTTCTGAATCTTCATAAAATTTAAATAAATAATTCGAGCCTCTCTCTATTAAGGCTACTTGCCAAATCATCCGAAAAAGTAATAAATTATCTTATAAGGTGATTGTTTTCGGAAGACTCACGTGATCTCTTAGCTTCAATGACATCATCACCAACAACATCCTCGATTTCGTCATCATCGTCGTCATCATCATCTTCGTCATCGTCATCATCATCATCGTCGTCATCGTCGTCATCGTCTATACTAACACTGAGTTCGTCATCGTCATCATCGTCGTCATCATCATCATCATCATCGTCGTCGTCATCAGACGTGGTGCCACTGCTGACTGGCGAAGGAGCTTCCGGTTTTAGTGTGTCAGTATTGTCAGGAGTCAAATCGAGTCCTCCGGCAGCACTGTCGTCATTCTGTACAAGATGGCCGACTGCCTGTTCTTCTGGAACGAATTCGTCGTAGACGGGGGCGACTGCAGAGTCAGCGTTGGCTCCGGAGGAATCAGCTACTGCAGACAGTGTCTCACCAGGGGCTGTGTAGTCGACAGATGAGTAGTCCAGAGAGGCAATGTTATTGGTGGGCTTTGCGGCCAGCTGAGGAACCACAGCGCCCTGTTGCGGTGTTGCCTGGGCAACTGGTGTTGCAGAGGCGGCTACAGGCGGCTGGTCAGCAGTGTTGTCATCGTCGTCATCATCATCATCATCATCATCTGTATAAATAAATTAGCCTAGGTCAAGATTGTGGAATTATGGCGCGGTATGTGCACAATTATTAAATTGCAATGATCAGAAAGCTATATGAAAAAGTCAAATTTTTGTTTTCAAATTCTTGTTTCGGGATGTTAGACCAATTGGTTCATTATCATTTACAAAGAGTCCCGCTACTGGATCCCATTTTGATCTCAATGAGCCCAGATCAGATCCTCACACTCTATTCCTTCAATATCAATTTAAGTATTATCCTGGGCTCCCCCCACCCCCCAAGATTTTCTGACTAAACTTTTGTATACATTTCTTTTCTGTGTTTAATGTGCCTCGACCACTTCATTATTTTTAATTTGGATGTAGAATTCTCTCTTGATCTTTTCTTATACAGCTCCAGGTAACTGAAGTGTCATAAATATAAAGTCAAGAACAACAGATGTACCATTTTCATACATTTAAGCGGCTATTAGAAATATGTTATGACCATGTTCGTGCAACACAAAGAGCAGTTGCGATACGTAGGTCAAGTTCGGTTATTTTAGTGACACAAAATTCTGGGTAAGATTGCCCGACTATGCCACGTTTCTGAACTTCGTGTAGACCACTCCACCACAAGCTCTTTCGACGTTACATTACGTACCAACAAATATTCGGTCCGAGAGCTTTTCCGTCAACAGCTGATGTTTAACTTTCAATGAGTCGCAGTTGTTTCTATTTGACCATTCTATAAAGTTAAATTTAAGAAACAGTCAAGAGTAGTTACACATCATTTGATGTTCGTGTGGAAACCTGGAAGTACCGAAAGTTCTGGAAATAGTGAAGGTATCAGTCTAATGTAAATTTCTCCACAGGTAATAAATGTCTGAATATGACTAATGTAAATTATCTCAGTTAGTGCAGCGAGTGGACAGATATTACATGACGGGAGTTCGATCCCCGGCAGCGGGAGGAATTTTTCTCTTCGCCACCGCTACCGGACGGCTGGCTTCTGAGCCCGCGCAGTCTGCTGTCGATTTTTAACGGAGTTTTTTTCGCAGGGTGTAAAGCGGAAGAAGAGTGAATGCTACCATTTCCGTCGATAAAGTTCCAAGGTTAAGAAAGCGTGGAACTATACCTTCACCACGCCGTATACGTCTTCGTCATGGCGTAGCACTTAATTAAGCACAGGGACAACTTTATCAGTTGCTTTACTGGTGGAAATCTGCGAATGTTGGTTGCCTTGTGCAACAGTTTCTTAACTGATGAGCTGCACTCGACATTCTGTACTAAAATGCATGTCTACATATTTAACAACAGATCTCGAAGTGTGCTAGGGTTTGGTGACATCTGATGACACTGATTTGTCCTCTCTTTTGTCGGTACTGATACTTCTCTTCATCTCTGTCACATTTGTCACACAATGTGCTATATCGGAACAGCCACTTTCAATCTTAATGACTTATGTGTATTTTAGTCTCATAATTGGTCGCGCCATAGCTCAAGCGGTTAGTCGCGGGCTTCCCACCGCAGCGGCCCGGATTCGATCCCGGGTCCGGTCAAGTGGGATTTGTGGTGGACAAAGTGGCGCTGGGGCAGGTTTTCTCCGAGTACATCGGTTTCCCCTGCCAATCTTGATTCCACCAATTGCTCCACAATCACCCTCACCTATCATCTGTTGCTGGTACAATAGGCCAGAAGTGGCCGCAGTATAAGGGACTTAGTCCCACCCCACTAGCATTAAAAAATTTAAATTAGTCTCATAATTTATTAGGCCTATTCGTTTTTAAACAGTCGGCAGGCAGTTAAATTGCACTACGAACTGCAGTAAGTAAGTAAGTAAAGCTATCCCTGTAAGAGGCCGTGAAAGCCCATAGGGTTGTGAGACGTTGAGGGTCCCACATTACCTAGACAATCGGCTCAAAGATGGCGGTAAGGTTACGAACTGCAGTACGTAATATAAAAATAGAATGAATCCAAATGATAAAGAAAGAAGAATAAGGGGCCTAATACGAATATAGTTTACGTATAAATACATACAGAGACGCATATACAAATTTAACATGGTGTGCCGCGAGATACTGTACTATTCATTAGTTATGTCGCTACGTGGAAATGCTGTTAATTATAAACTATACACAGAACTTTTTTTAACTCACCTCCTAAAATATCATCGAAAAATCTTTCAAAATAATCATCGTCGTCATCGTCGTCCTCTTCATCTTCGGATTCATCGTCATCATCGTCATCATCTTCAGTAATATCTAGGTCTATATCATCGTCATCATCATCGTCGTCTTCGTCATCGTCAGTTACGGCCGGAGCGGCTACAGGAGCGGGGCCAGCTTCTACCGACGTCTGTCGACCGGAATCCACTCCACCGCTTTTGGAGACAGCAGCCGTCGGTTGGTTCTGAGAGTCTACGGTCACTATCGGGGATGCGTAGACGCCAAATATGAGGCAACACAGTGCCAGAAGTATTGCCAGCTTCATATCAGAATGTGGCTGAAAATAATAGAGCAGTTCTTAAGGTTTGCATGTAATGAAATAATTAAATTAGTCAGCACATTAAACCTCCTTGTTGATTTTATGTTTCGAGATCCACCATATAACACATGCACCCCATAGACAAGGTCTTAAAATATATTTAAAGTGTTCTAAATTCCAGTCCTGTCTATTATTTTGACAATGATACTAAATTAAATTATACATAGAGTAGACCTACGACCACTGCGCACATTGCAAAGTTTGTCTGGACAGTCCTACCATTACCACCTTATAACACCGATTTAGCACCTTCAGACTTCCATCTCTTTGGACTTATGAAAGACGGACTACGTGGGCAACATTTTCCAGACAACGATGCTGTCATTGCAGCTGTAAGAAAGTGGCTAGCCTCTGCTAGCGCAGACTTTTACAGGTACAGCATACAGGCTCTTGTTCATCGATGGCAAAAGTGCATAACGAATGGTGGTGATTATGTGGAAAAATAGCTGTAAGTAGCTGAAATCTTGCTCTATTTAACTGCGTTATTATGCTTTCTGTATCTGTTGTAGTTTTTATCAAAAAAATAGGAGGCATTATATACGGAACGCTCCTCGTATAATACAAGCAGTAACAGACATTATCTAATTTGGAAGAATTTTATCCTGAACAAGAACTTAGTCACCAAATAACAGGTATTGGTTTATACAACTAACGCGCCAAATTCATACTGTGCAGCATGTAATTGGATATTCAACAGTTACTGGGCGTCATTTACAAGAAGCCACAAAATGAAAACTAATGAAACACCCATGTGTTTAACTCCCGAATCTTTCGACTTTTGAGATATTTTATATAGCAGGCTCTTAAAAGTGTTGTCACGAATATGAATAGCATTTTTTAGCCTCTTCGAATGAGAGCTTCATTTTTAGATGAAAATTAATTTTAATATGTAGGTTTCTTTATTTAACACAAAATTAAAAAAGGATCATTTATGAAATGATCTCAGAGATCGAGTGAGTCTTATATTATTTACCTTTGATGTTCCAACTGATTAATATTGTGACATGTAGACCACTGGTAGGCAACGACCGCCAAATAAGCAGCTATAAAATAGTCGTTGCTAAGTAATGGTTATGCAAAAAACGGACGTACCTAGAATGGCCGCAACACACACGCACACAACAGCAGAAAAACTGTTGGAAGCGGTGTTCTATGTGCGATCCGTGCCGAAGCTATATAGCGAGAGCCAGGTGCCAAAACCCATTCTAGGTTCTGCACATGGGTCCGCGAATTGCACATAGCTTTCAACCTTCTATATGCATACGATTATATAACAAAATCGTGCAGGCGACAAGCAGAGATCACAAAAATCATAAGAATATATGGTCCGGAGATAGGGGCTACCTCTATCTATTGGACCCAACTGAATAGGTTTTACCTGAGGACGGGGACAGAATCCAGTCTCCAAAACGTTATGTTTTTAAAAATAAACAGGACGGTTTTTAGAAAGTAGACAAGACGATGGATAATGTCCAAAAATATAATACTTGTAGCAATAGACCATCGTCACAAACATTTAGATCTTATAAGAATGAACATGCACGCGGTATAGGACAATGTGAATTCAGACAAGAGGCTTAAATTTGCCAGTGGTCAAGCTTACGACCATTCAAGTTATTAAACCGCCGTTGTAGCACAGCATACGTAAGACAGGCATGATTTGCTCTGTATAGCCTATATTGACAGAGGATTTATGTGTAGTGCAAAAGGAAGAATTTTCAATAACATACTATATGAGCCATACGTATACTTGACGAAATGTCAAACATATTCATAGGAAATAAAACCATCCTCTCGGCAAAGAAGATGTTAGATAAGGGCTATTACCGCAACAATTCAATTAAAAGATCCCTGATCATGGGTCTCAAGGGGCTTCATGCCAAGACGGTAAACAGCCGGTCGTAAAGTAACTTTTACTTTGACTTTGACTTTGACTCCGAAAACCCATTCTCTCGTAAGAGAGGATATTACATAAGGACTATGACAGCAAGGGTTCTATCGAAAGAATCTCTGGTCGTGATCCTCAAGGGGCTTGGCGACAAGACGAACTGATTGGCCGCAAACCGCCAGTCTTAAAAGCAACTCTGACTCTGACTCAGACTAGGACGCAAGCTCTGCTCGCATACGTAGACGCCATCCTCTTGGAAAAATTAAGGCCGTGTAGCATACAGAAATTAGTAAAGACACTGAAATTGAGAAAGGTTTGTAGACTTGATGGTATTCCAAACGAACGCCTCAGGTATCTTCAAAATAGACCACTGGTTCATCTGACACATTTATTTAATCACTGCCTTCGGCTGCACCATTTTTCAAAGCCTTGGAAAGAAGAATTTATAACGCTACCGAAACCTGGTAATGACCCAAATTTCCCTCAAAATTACATCGATTATCCTCTTGCCCATAATAGGCAAGTTATTCGAGAAAGTCGTTTTGAAAATAGTCCAAATGCATATTGAAGAAAGAGGCCTGCTGAATGCAACCCGTTTTGTTTTCCGCGCCCATCACAGTACTACACTTCAATGTATGAGGCTTACGGACCACGTCATCTTAAATTTCAGCAATAACAAGTTTACGGCTGTCGTATTCTTGGAAATTAAACAAGCCTTTGATACAACATGGCACCTTGTTTTGCAATATAAATTATCAGAATTAAAATTTTCGACCAGTCTGGTCAAGCTTATTAGCTCTTTTCTTTCTCAGAGAAAATTCAAGTCTCGGTCGAAGGTGAAATGTCTACGCCAAGTAGGGATGCCATAATGTTCCGTCCTGTTCCAACATTGTACAGTCTATGTATAAATGATTCGCCCCAAACACTTGGTGTCTTTCTAGGGATCTTTGCTGATGACACCTCTATATATGTGACAGACAGCAAAGAGGGTTTTGTTCTCAGAACGCTGCAGCGAGGTCTCAATGCTATTGAGACGTGATGTGGACGCTGGAACATAAAAATCAATGAAGGTAAGATTCGAGCAATCTACTTTTCTCACAGGCTTCGATCCAATGAGGCTCATCTTACAGTGAATGGACAGAATCTTCGATATGAGGATACTATGGAGACTGCACATAGAAGTGATTGAAGCCAAGGCCTTCGGAACATTTACCTGAATCTGCTCCCTATTTAAAAGCGAGCGTTTAAGCGCCAGCAATAAACTAACCTTCCATAAAGCACTGATTATATCAGTATTGACTTATGTTTGCCTCGCCCGGGAATTAGCGGCAGACGCCTGCATTTTAAAATTGCAGCACCTACAAAACGAGGTAGGGGCGCGCGGTAGCGTAGTGGTTAAGGCACTATGCTCCAAGTCGCAAGGTCCTGGGTTCAAATACCGATGAGGTCATTGGATTTTTTTCAATTGACCTAATCCTTCCGGCGGCACTATGGCCCTGGGGTTTACTCAGCCTCTAACAGAAATGAGTACCATTTTCCTGGGAAGTAGAGCGCGGCCGGCGCGTAAGGTTGACAACCTTACCGCCATCTCTGAGCCGATTGTCTAGATAGTGTGGGACCCTTAACGTCTCACAACCCTATGGGCCTTCATGGCCTGTTACAGGGATAGCTTTACTTTTTACTTACTTTTTTACAAAACGAGGTTCTCCGTACCATTGGAAGTTCTCCAAAGTGCACATCAGTCCTCGATTTGTATTCAGCTCTCAACCTTCCGTATGTATAAGATTATATAACAAAATTGTGCAGGCAACAAGCAGACGTCATACAAAACCACGAGAATTAATATGTTTGCGGTATAGGACAAGATGAAGCCAGACGTAGAAAATATAAGAGGTTTAAACTTGGCAGTGGTCAAGCTTACGACCTTTCAAGCTAATAAACCACCGTTGCAGCATAACATACGTTTGCTCTGTATAACCTATACTGACAGAGGATTTATGTGTAGTGCAAAAGGAAACATTTTCAATAACATGCTATATGAACGACACATACACTTAACGAACGGTCAAGCATATTCATAAGAGACAAACCAATCCTCTCGTCAGAGGATGTTACATAAGGGCTATGACCTAAGGGTTTAGCTGAAAAAAATATCTCTGGTCACGGTTCTCAATGGGCTTGACGCCAAAACGAACTGAATGACGGTAAACCGCCAATCGCAAAGATACTCTGACCTAATTAGAAGAGAACCTTGAGTATTTAGAGGACAGATAGAAGAGTAGAAGGCCGGTGTGAGATGGACGCCAGTCTGCGAGGACGTGAGCTCGGGAACAGGGGAAAGTCCACTGATGAAGACACAGCAGACTGAGAAGATTTAGTATGTGCTGTAGTGAACTGTAGAATGTGTGAATTAGCGAGAGCGTTATTAATTACTTGTAGTTACGATCTGTAAGTGTTCAATAAATCCAATTACCAATTCAAACCCTGTCTCTTGTCACTTCATAAATTCGTGACAATATAGTAATACGTATGATCGTCATTGGTTAGTAAGTAACGGAAAGGAGGAAATTATAACTTATTTTTTTCTCTAGGGAAAAATTAACTGAGTTATGATATGTTTGTCTTGAATTGTATATATTAGGAATGGCGGACCTTTTCACGCCCCTGTGCCAAAAGTTAAGGAAAAAGTTCTGCATAGAAGGACATACATTGCATTCACACACACGTATTTAAAATTAATATTTCGTTGGCAATATACCGTATTTACGCATGTATAGGCCGCATATTTTTTGCCAAAAATTCAAGAGGAAAACTGGGGTGCGGCTTATATTCGAAATATTGGAAATCACACTTCATTTAAAAAAAAATATATATTCATAATTAGTAATACAGGGTGTAATACTCCTGAAATAATATTCCAAGAAAATTATTTTTTCTATAATTTGTCTGAAAATTGTGCTGCGGCCTATACACGCACGCGGCCTATACATGCGTAAATACGGTAATTTCTATTTTATCAATGTATTTCTTGCAAAGAAATTTTGCGTGCCAAAAATTCTTTCGCCGTTCT